GAGAGAGTGTCTATAGAGCATCCATCATCTACTCCTGTTTTATTCTTTTAAAATTAGGAACTTTATTTAAACAAATGAAAACCAGTAACAGTCTGGTTCTACAGAGATGTTTCTGTCAAGGCCAGGATAAGCACCGAATCCTTTAACTGACCTGGATCAAATTGTTTGGGGGAGGTTCCCCACTCCCCACCCCACCCCTTAGTTTAAGCATTTAAATACGTTGTTGCTCGTTTTCACTATATGTGGTGGAAACACTTTGAAATCCGCATACATTCTATTGGTCCTATTGGAGAGGCACCTGGGAAATAAAGGCGATGTCTTTCTTCAATGCGAGGGAAAGGTAGGAGTGAAAATATCCGTTTTACGTGCCCTTATCCTCTAGCTCAGTGGTTCTCCGGGTGTGACCCCAGGCCAGGAGAATCAGCATCACCAGGCCAGGAGAATTCATTAGAAAATACATATTCTCAGGCCCTACCCCAGACCTGCTGCATTAAAACTTCCGATCATGGGGGTCCAGGGATCTGTGTGTTCAAACCCTGCAGGTCACTCAACACCATGCCCACATTTGAGAAACTCCTGCTCTTGTCGCACCAGAATGTCCCTTGGGAGCACTACTTTGTATTTCTGTTTGATTTTGCCTCAGCCGAGGATTCCACAGTGGTCTTTGAAGGTTTGACTGATAAATTACCCCAGTTCAACATGTTTTGGGAGGACTAGACCAGGAGCCAGGAGACCTGATTTTTAGCCTAATCTCACCACTGGAATATTCCCTCACCACGAAGATAGAATTTTACCACCTGCTTTCACCGCTTTATGTGACAGGGGGGGAAAAATGAAATAATGGATGTTAAAATAGCTTGAAAATGTTAACATGTAACATGTAAAATGCAACGTGGCATCAATATAAAAGTTTGTCCCTATATATCCCTTAACTCAGCCAGATTTCCCCATGCACAGTGTGGAGGGACTGCGTCACCTTGCACTCCAGTCACATCCTCAGAGTGCAGGATTATAAGATAAGTAACCACAACAAATTTAAAACTGGTGAATATAGAAGATGCAGTAGGCAAATAAAAAACAGCTTTCATGAGACCCCTATCTTGGAAAATATAATGGTTGTTTTGTTGTGGTTGTTGTTGTTGCTGTTTTTTCCAGTGTGAAAAAGATAGACGAAGTGTTAGAAAGGAGAAGTAAGGGATTTACTGCATAGGAACCACTCTGCTATTGTGGTACTTGAAGCTAATCCCCACTTGAGCTAACGATACTCATCTTGTCCACCGGGTGGCAGTAGCAAACCTGTAGAATCAGTCTCAACTGAGAATTTTTTCTGCACAAAGTGAGAAACAGCCTTCTTGCATTACTTCCGTGGGCATTGCAGGGAGAAGTTTTATTTTATTTAAATTATGAAGATAATATCCCATTTGAGGAAAAGACCTATATTTAGGTTCAAGTGTCACGATCCCTTGATTGCTCATTTAGTGCTCTAAGATAAATTATTTTAGTCAACAGAGCAGAAGTAGGCCCTAAGTGAAGGACTGGTCTAGAGTTACACTTCTGTATGTCACTCTCTTTATTTTTGCAGATTAATAGCTGTAATTTTTTAAAAGGTGAAATCACAACTTGCCAGTTCAATTCAAAGGAGTTGGTAACTTACACTATTCACACTATCCTTTGTGAATTCAGCCTTGAATTTTGACGTCATCAGTTGCCACTCACAATTGTTTACACTTGACATTTCCCACTGAGACATCGAAAAGTCTTGGTGGTAGATGGGTTTGCAGAAAGCTGTTCAAGCTAAAATCATCGTGGGGCTTCTCATTTCAGAGGCCAGTCATGGATAAGCTACCTGCTAGCATCATCAGAGGGGAGAAACAGACAAGAAGAGGCTTTCTAGGAAATAAAAGGCCTCTTTTAGGATTTCTTTAAATTCAAATTATGTAAATTTGACAGATGTAGACATTATTTCTCTATGTAAAAGGATTTAGACACGGGAATCACAAAATGTAAAAGAATAGGTTTAAAACTATTTGGAAGTTTACAGTGTTTTTCTTGGCATTCTGTCAGATATACATAGAAATGCTTGCTCGGCTGGTTTCTAATGACGTAGCAGGTCCCTCGGCTTCGTTCCACAGGATGTGACATTTCCTCTGCTGATTTTTCCTGCCTCCTTTTCCAATCGTGGGACAGTTATTCTCCCTGACAAGTAAAGAGTGACAAGTTCTTTATTAACAAGATCAATAGGTCTCTCTATATATTTTTAAATGTATATACCCACCTCTGAAATGATCTTATTAAGAATACCTTAATAAAAATCCTTTCATTTTATTGCAAAGACACTATTGTAATAACAGGCTTAGGAAGGAAACACAGATAATTACCAAGATGAATCATTTAACAAGGTGGAAAAAAAGTTCCTTTTGTGTAAAAATATCTAGTGATTGACATGTTGCCAAATTTCCACAAAATAGATTTCTATGTAATTTAGACTTTTGATTTCTTTTCCTCGTAGATCACAAGAACCATCCTGATCTGGATGAGTGTCGGGGAAACATTTTTCGTTATGAAATAAGAAGCAGAGGGTTCTCTAGGGCAGTTAAAAGATCAGGATGCTTGCTCAAGATGTCACTCTGGCAATTCTCTTCCCACCCACCGGTGATTTCCTGTCTGCCCTGTCATTCCTGTTGGCTGGCACACTGTAAGGTCTTCGGCTTTGACTCTGCAAGCAGCGGGGAGTCACTGGAAGATTTTCAGTAGAGAAGCGTCATGATTGACTTGAGCTTTAACTGGATCTCCTGGGCTGCTCTAATGAGATGAAAATGGAAGCGGACGGGAGCAGCTGCAGGGGGGTGTGCGGAGGCCAGTGAGGGGTCCCCCGTGATTCCTCTCTGACTTCGTTTTCTGCTGCCTTCCCCTAGTACCTGGGCTCCAGCCAGTTCTCCTTGCTGGTTCTTGAACCCACTTATCAAGCTTCCATATGGGTCGACCTAGCCAGCCCCTCTGCCTACAGCACTCTCCCAGGCACCCACGTGGCTTCCTCTCTCACCTTCAGACAACACCTTGTCACTGAGGCCTTCCCTGACCACGCTGTTTAAAATTGTCCCTCACCCAGGCCAGGCCCTCCCTCCCCTTTCCCCGTCCATTTTCCCCCTGCACGTACTGTCTTCTGACATACTAGGTATTTATTTGATTGTGGTCGGTCTCCCGACACATCTAAAGTGGGCGCTCCACAGAGAAGGGCTGGTCTTATTCAGTGCTGTATCCCTGACACCTACACCCGCATCTGGCGTACAGTCAGTGTCCCACGGATGTCTGGAGTGAGCCCTCCGGACTCTGTTGTTCCCAGGCACCTCACGAACAGACGCCCCCATCTCAGAGGGCCGTGGAGAGCAGAGCGTGTGAAGCAGGGTATGGAAGCACATTATCACCTCGGTGATTCGTTCTTGCCAGGCTCTTCCTGCAGTTTTATCTCATCTGTCAAATGCCCTCCAATGCAAGAGAGGGCATAGCTACCTTTTCAGACCGGGCACATAGCTCTAGTCACCATGTCGTTTATGGTCCAGGTCCTGGGCAGTTGTAAAGCTGGATCAGTTGCTGGATTTCCTAGAACCTCATGACATTCCAGAGCCCCCTTGTTCCCAGGAAGCCCCCACACCGCCCAGCCCTCTCGTGCAGCATCTGGCAACCACTGGAAACCATCTGGGTGATGTCCAGTCCTACCCCATTAGAACCATCCCCTCTCCTTCCTGCTGTGCCCTTTGGAGTCCTTGCCTTGACCTCGTTTTGTTTTTACTGAGACAGTTGTGTGGTGCCAAATAAAGACAGAAAACCAGCATTTGCAAATTTGGTTAACATGGGTGCTATTTTACCACCCTTTGTGAAGGGCAAACTTGTTTCTATTTTTATTATAATTACTCATTCTCTCCTACCTCATTTAGCTTGCTCCTGAATACCTGGGTGCATCTGCATAACCTCTTATGAGCCCACCTTTGTTCACACAAACGACTGCTACTTACAGCTCTTCTACCAGGCTCCTTTTGTAAATATTCTAAATTTTATTTTCTCAAAATAGAAAGAAATGTGATAACTCGCTGGTTCCACAGTTTCCTTGTTTTGCTGGATTGCAAGTCCCTGAGATTTAAATGTTCTGTATCCCCCCCCACACCATTCTTCATCATCATAAAAGCAGAGATGGAATGGAAAATAGATTTTGAGATTTTTTAAAGTATTTCTTGCTGGTCTTCAGAGGCAGAATTCAGATTAAAAGAAAAAAAACTTGTCAATTATACTTTTGTTTCTACTCAAAACCTCATGACTGCTCACTCAAAGGTCCCTTATTCTAATCTTAAAACATTGTTGACAGTGTCCCAGATGAATGGCAACAAATCCTGGGCTTTGGTGTTTGGATGGCACATTTATTCCCTGGGAAAATAAGTAACAGTTTGCGAAGGAGCGGGGCTGGGAGGCAGACCTCCCCTCGTTCTGAGAATTCCCCTTGTTCTGATTTTCTGAGGATTCTGATTGAGCCTCCTTAGTCCTTGTTCTGTTGCTGAAAATAATTATGGTTACTTTTGTTTCTGGAACTCTTGGGAGGGGAAAAAAAAAAGAAAAAGAAATTTGCGGCCTGGAGAGTTTAGTTTTGAAATGCAAACACAGGATTTATGAGTCAGACTTGGGCAGGGTGTCATTTTCTTTTTAAAGAGCAGCAATATGAGTCCTTGAATTGTCTTTGTTCTCTTGATGTTTAACCCGGATTCCCGGGCAGTTAGTTGGTCAGCCCCAGCACAGCTCCACAGAGCACGTGGCCCAGCCTGGGCACAGCACCCCGGAAATCAGGGCGCCAGGGGAGGGGCTTCGGCCCGGAGGCCAGGTTGATTTACAAGGAGGAATTGGACTAATCACTCTAAAACACTTAGCACATAAGGATTAGAAATAAAAATTCCTGTTCTTGGGGCGGAGGGAAGGCACACAGAAGTGTCATTGTAAGTGACATAATTTACTTCTCTTAACGGTAGGCGCTACAAAGCTGAGTTTACTTTCTAGAAAACTCTTTTCTAGAAAGTTGCATTTTATCACTGCAAAAGGATTTTCTTTCCAAATGAGTAGCTTTCGAGTAAGAGTTTTGGAGTCACAGAGACAGATTAAGAAAGTGATGAAAGGCAATTGTCAAATTCACGGAGGAAAAAAAAAATACTCTGCTTGGGAGACTTCTTTTTACCTGTCCATAACGGGGTAGCGATGTCGGCATCTAACAAGTCAGCAGTTTCTCCGCACCAAATAAGCACTATTTTGCTGAGTAAAGGGAGCCTTACCCTTTATATTCATTCCTAACCAACGAGGTGCAGGGAGAATTTTAGTCCACCAGGTTTTTACAGTGATGAAAGCCGAGCTGTGTTACTGAGATCACGACCATCGTAGCCAGCATAGGTGGTTGACCTGTAGTATGTTTGTGTGTATAGAGGGCAGGTGGTAGGATGGGGAATCTGCCACAAAATTACGTAAAATAATCGGAATAATTGTAATTGCCTAAAACAGAAACGTGCAACTAGAGAAGTGAGTAGTGACGCAAACACTGGATCCGTTTTGGAAATGTTCTAAGACCAGACTATTAACACAGTGAGGCGTTTTAAACGGAGCTTGCTATGTGTTTGGAGAGAAACACATACCCTTTTACTAGGAACTGGAAACAAACTCTTTGAGTGGCAGTATCACCGTGGGTGAGTTTAATTGCTGGGATTAATAAATCACAGTTGCAAAAGTTAAGTTCTTGGCAGGATTCTCTGTTCAGCTGTTTTCCCCTGGCCTCATTTCGTTCCAGGTTTACGGTCTGCATTATGACTGGAGCCAGCAGTCGGCTCGCTCTTTTCCTTTGCTGCCGTTTCGTGGTGGCCCTGGGAGTCCGCACCGCGGCGCACTGCGTGGCTGAGGATCACGAGGCTGAATATTACACGGCCGCAGTGTACGAGCACCAGTCGATCCTGAGTCCCAACCCTCTCGCTCTCACCAGCCGCAAGCAGGCCTTGGAGCTAATGAACCAGAACCTTGACATCTACGAACAGCAAGTGATGACTGCAGCCCAAAAGGCAAGACGTGTTCCTGGGTTAGAGCCTCAGCTTGTCTCGCAGAATGGGCCAGATTGCTCCTTAGCCCTCGGTCAGGGGTTCCTGCGGCCCCTTTAGAAAATCAGCCCAGCTGGTAAAGCTGAGTTGAAGTAGTCAGTTGGTGAGAGTCTCACTACTCAGAGAGTGGTCCATCAACCAGCATCAGCCCTTCAGAGCTTATGAGAAATGCAGGATTTGGGCCCCGCCCAGATGGGCTGAATTAGAATTTACGTTTTAGCAAGATTCCCAGGTGATGCTTTTCAACTCAAGTCTGAGAAGATGGGGCTAGATCCCTGGTTCTCCAAGGTAGCTGTGAGAGGAATCACTGGGCCACTTGTAAACAAATATGGCTGGGTGTCACGCCTGGGTGCCACGCCTGCAGAGCCAGATGGGGTGTGGGCTGGGCTTCGGGATTTTTTTAAAGTTCCCCAGTGGATTCTGATGTGCAGAAAAATATGGAAATCACCAGGCATGATGGCCTGTCATAGTCTCTGAGGCATTCCAAGTTTAACTAAAACAGTAAGCATCCACAGAATTGCCACTTGCTGCCTTCAGATTATTCGGGGTTCATTTCTGGTCTCAGTGCCAGATTGAGAAGAGTCTTGAGAACTCAGTCCAGACAGAGCTGAGCCCAAAAGAACAAAGGGAGGCCAGTGCCAGCCTTTGTGAAGCCTTCCTGCTTGGGCCCCATTTCCCACCCCTGCCAGGAAGGGTGGGGCAGAGAAGGGAATGTCGGTGCCAGATGTTACTGTAAAAAATGCCCTGTTGGGAAATGTATAACCAAAGGGAAGTTTGGGCTTTAACCCTGGTGGCAGGGTGACCAAGACCAGCTGCTTGAAGAAGCCCTGCTGTGCCTCAGCAGGAGGTAAACTCCATGTGAGCAAAACTTCCCTGTGTTTGAGTTTAGAGGACAGAATCAGTTGCGCCAGCAGGTCCTGCCCCAAACCATCCCTGTCTCTGTTCAGGGGCTTAAGATGGCCTGGACAGCCACTATCGATGGCGACATTTTAAAGTTCTAGCCTGTAATATGCACACGCGTGCATGCGTATACCCACACACATACACACACACACCTGATGTTGGAAGGAAGGTTAAAGACCGAGTCCAGTGTCTCCTGCTGAGTGACACAACAGGCCTCTCTTGTTCCCAACCTGACATCCAGTTTCTCTTTGAACACCTTCAGTGGCCCAAAACTCCTGTCTCACAGGCCCACTGCTTCCAGCTGAGGACAGTAGGACCTTCTGGAAAGCTCTTCCTTTCAATGAACAACGCTCAGCCTCCGTGTAACTGCCACTCATCATTCTGTCTTCTGTGCCAAACAGAACAGACTGAGCCCTTCCCACAGCTCACCACCCTCCCCAAATTCGAAGACAGCTTCATGGCCCACTTTGCATCTGTCCCCCAGGATATGTATCCCTAGTTCACCCCACAGTTCCTTGAGAGAGGAGGTTGGAAGGTTAAATACCGAGTCCAGTGTCTCCTGCTGAGTGACACAACAGGCCTCTCTTGTTCCCAACCTGACATCCAGTTTCTCTTTGAACACCTTCAGTGGCCCAAAATTCCTGTCTCACAGGCCCACTGCTTCCAGCTGAGGACAGTAGGACCTTCTGGAAAGCTCTTCCTTTCAATGAACAACGCTCAGCCTCCGTGTAACTGCCACTCATCATTCTGTCTTCTGTGCCAAACAGAACAGACTGAGCCCTTCCCACAGCTCACCACCCTCCCCAAATTCGAAGACAGCTTCATGGCCCACTTTGCATCTGTCCCCCAGGATATGTATCCCTAGTTCACCCCACAGTTCCTTGAGAGAGGAGGTTTTCAGACTTTCTACCAAAGACTTCCCAGGTTGTCGCCATGCCCAGAGCTCTGCACAGTCCTCCTGATTCTGTCTGATGAAGGCAGGGTGGAGGAGGTCTGTCACCATTATCGTTCTAGACATTGTCTCCAGAACGCTTTTGAGAGCCACATCTCACTGTGGATCCATAAGGCCACTTGCTGTCAGCTAAAATCCTGAGCCTTTTTCACACACTCAGACACACGTACTGCCATTGTCATCCTGTACTTATAAAAGTTGATTTATTTAACTTGAGAGCAAGATTTCACATTTATGCTGTTAAATTTCATCATTCCAGCCTGTTGGGCTATTTGGGGATCTTTACTGCCATCCAGGATATCAGTTACCTTCTCGTCATTCACAGATTTGATAGACACCTCACTCATGTCTACCTGTAAACAAATCCCAGGCTGTGCCTGCAAACCTGATGACTCAGATCCACTCCAGTGCATTCTCTGCACAGAGGTGTTTGCTTACATGGCACAAAGTATCACCCGCCTCTTGCTTCTCTCTTGTCTACAAGACCATTCTAAGACATTTGGCAACTGCCATCCTGAAACCCAGAGACTGTGACTGTAGCATCCCCCCGCATTTTAATAACCTGCCCCCAAATGAATCATATAGTGTGTTTTTGTTGAACTCATGCCAGCTGGCTGCGAGGCATCATTCCTTCCCTGTTTGTGGTCCAGGAGCAGGGATGAAGCTGTGGATCTGATCATTTTTAGTGTTTACAGACATCTTAGCTCCCCGATGTGTTACATGTGTGAAAGCAACTTCTAAGACGAATCGATGCCAAGCATGTGTCAGAATTTTATACCAAAGTTGTGATAAGGGTAGAGGTTCCTGGACAAGCCAGCTAAAATTATTTCTTTCTTGGTAGAGGCATTTATGGGGAAGAAAAGGAGTCCAACTTAAAGATATGAGGCTGGTCAGTCACCTGAGTGGGCAACCTTAATTCCTCAGGAGTTCTTGATTTCATTAAGATCTATCAGAAAATCACCCAAGCCATTTATCAGGAATGCTACTTGCTTCTTAGAATGTTCTGGAATGGATTAGTTATCACATCAGACCCAAAATTCTGCCCCAGCTCAGATTTGGTTCTTCTCCTCACTCCTGTCAGATAACGTATTCAGGAAATGCAATTTTAAAAATAGTAACCTGATACGTATACATAATTTAAGTGTCATCGTCCATAAAAAAACCATTCCATGCTCTCAACGTTTTCCTTTTAATAAAGAAAAATATCCAAGTATAATTTTCAAAAAGTTAAAAACATGACTCATAGAAATATAGAATAAACATGTATCAAAGCTTTTATTTACCTCATTAATTAATGAAGGAACCAGTATGATGGTAAAGCTGTTCAACAGAGTGTGTATCACTGGATCAGTCAGTCAAATGAATGTGGAAATGAATTTGCTAGGAGATACAAAACTGGCTAATTTTTGCAGGGCAATGAAATTGTAATCTTTATAGTTGTCATGTTTTATTAAATAACAAAGTCAAACAGTGGTCCATCTACTAGATAAATAATCCTTAAGTGAGGTCATTTAGTACCCTCGTAGATCCTGAAAAGGCATACATTCTTCATTTTGCTGTTTCCAAGTTCGCAATAATTTTCTTTACAATGTGCAGTAAGGTAACCAATCTCATACTCCTGTAGAGGGATTGTACATTTGTATAATCTTTCTGGAAACCTGTTTGGAAATGTATGTTAAGAACGTATAACTTTTCATACCCTTGACCCAGTATTTTCACTTATAAGACTTTATTCCAAAGAAATAATTGGCGAGCCAATCAAAGATTTGTGTACAGCATTCATTCGCTAAGTGTTTTGAGCGCTCTGTATGCAGCTGGTCACATTTTTTTTTTATTACAAAAAGTTGGAAACAATTCAGATGTCCAATGATAGACAATAAACTGTGTTGTCTTTGTAAATATACTGTGGCCATTACAAATGATATTTTTGAAGGTATTTTTGATGTTCTATGTAGTGAGAAAGTCAGGATGGAAAACCGTATATTTATTTTCTCAATTATATATACAGAGACAGAGAAAAAATGAAAATAGTCAAGATATTAACAATAAATATCTTCATGTGACAGGATTATGAGTTCTTTATCTGTTTTCCAAGTTTTCTACAGTTCAACTTTTGAAGCTTTTATAACCAGAAAAAATTCTAGAGTGTTCAGTGCATCCCAGAAGTATGTAAGTCAGATTGCCCTTTGTTTTAGATCACTCATGCCTTCTCTGCCTTATTTGTCCCCTTTCACTTTGGGGCAATGGTCCAGCCTTGACATTTGAAGCCCTGTAAGTGGAGAGTAGCAGAAGCAAGAGGCCCTGGTGCCGAGAGCTGAGTGCTGCCCTTTTTGTTTGGATTTTCTTAGTTTGCTTCAGATATCGCAGGGAACTCAGGTGTCTCCAGGTGTGGGGAAAGGTCTGCGGTGTGGTCAGGAAGCCACAGGTAAAGGGAACCTCCTCATACCCACTCGGAGAAGTGCGAATTAGAGCAAGTCCTTATTTCTATCTTGAAATCAACACACTTGACTTTTACCCACTAGCCCAGTGGGTCCCAACCTTGGCTGCATGTCAGAATCACTTGGGGAACTTTAAACAAACACTGTTGCCGGGACCCACCCACAGTCAATTGAAGCAGACCTTTTAGGGGTGGGTCTCAGGATTACCCTTAAACAAGGAGTGTTTTTTCAGAAGTTCTCTGTCTGACTCTGATGTGCAATGAAGGTTTAACTACTGGACTACAGATAACACATCTGGTAATGAGCCCAATATTCAAGGCCACTACAGTTGGCCCATCTCCCATTGCACCACCAAAAACTCAAAACCCCTGTTTCCTTGGCAAACCCCTGCTCCCTTCAATCCTCCCTCCCTGGACATGCCCCCAGGTACAGTTAATGGTTGTTTCTAGAGGACTTGATCTTTGTTCCCTCAGAATTAGGCCAAGCGAGGCCGCTTCCCCAAGACTAAGATTCCCAGTAAGAGTACAGCCACCATCTTTTTACCTCTGGTTCCTGGTACACAGCAACTGCTTGATGGCTGTCAGAAGAACGAAAGAAAGAATGAATGAATGAATGAAGTGGTGCTGCCCATTACCTGATAGCACACAATAGTTTGATGTTTCTGATTTACAGGGTGTACAGATTATAGTGTTCCCGGAAGATGGCATTCATGGATTCAACTTTACAAGAGCATCCATTTACCCATTTTTGGACTTCATGCCGTCTCCCCAGCTGGTCAAGTGGAACCCATGCCTGGAGCCCCACAGATTCAATGACACGGAGGTACGTGAGGGTCTCACCCTTCCTCCTCAGGGGGCCGCAGGCACGCACAGAGGAACCATGCCAGGGACCAAAAGCCCAGACATGTTAAATGAGGCTGAAAGGGGACCTTGGGATCCTAAAAATGAAACCCAAGTTCCTTGTGCCACACAGTCATCCAATGAAAGAATGTCTGGTATTACGAGGCATTTTTTCGTCAATCCTGGTTGACCTCACAGATTGCCAAGACCTTGTCAGCTTACAATCGCTTCTCTTTTTTTATTTTTATTTTTTTATGCCTACAGCACCTGGTCTTCCTAGGTGGTCTCTCATCCAAGTACTAACCAGGCCCCACCCTGCTTAGCTTCCGAGATCAGACGGGATCGGGCACATTCAGTAAATATATTCTTATTAAACAGAAGTAAAAAATAATGAAAGCCCACCTTTACCACACTCCACCCCACCCCTCATTCTATTTTCTTTCCTAGAGAAACTGCCATCAACAATTTGATGGGCGTCCAACTATATTCTTTTATTCATTTTATAATTATCGACATCCTCTTTTTTAGCATGCTATATGGTTATTTTTTAAACTCTTGCTATTATAAACAATGTTTCAATGACTATCCTTATACATATAGTATTATAAACACGTCTAAGTTCTTCTCTATTGTAAACATGTCTGTAAGGTAAGATTGCTAGAAATGGAATTTCTCAGCAAAGGATATGTACATTTTAAAATTATTTTAAAGAGTACCAAATTTCACCATTAAAAGACTTTTTTCACTTTACATCCCCAGTAATAGTGTATGAGTGCCTGTTTTCCAACCCTTTGGTCAATGTAAGATAGAATAATCTTTTCAATTTTTGCCAGTCTTACAAGGGTGAAAAATATCTCATTATTATTTTAATTTGGATTTCCTTATTACTAATAAGGTTGAGCATCTTCTCATGTTTGTATTTGTTCTTCTGTGGATCACCTGTTCATATCCTTTAGTTTCTCAGTAGTGGTTTGTTTTTATTGGACACAATACAGGGACTTTCCTATTTTAAAATTATAATGCAAAAGGCAGGACTTAAAAATTCCATTATTTATGCATTTATGTATACCTTTTTTTCCCTCTAGGTCCTCCAGCGCCTGAGTTGTATGGCCATCAAGGGAGATATGTTCCTAGTGGCCAATCTCGGGACGAAGCAGCCTTGTCATAGCAGTGACCAAGGGTGCCCAAGTGATGGAAGATACCAGTTTAACACAAATGTCGTGTTCAGCAATAATGGAACCCTTGTGGACCGCTACCGCAAACACAACCTCTATTTTGAGGCAGCTTTTGATACTCCTCTCCATGTAGATCACATCATCTTTGATACGCCTTTTGCTGGCAAGTTTGGCGTCTTCACTTGCTTTGATATATTGTTCTTTGACCCTGCCGTCAGACTCCTCAGAGACACTGAGGTGAAGCACATCGTGTTTACGGCTGCCTGGATGAACCAGCTCCCACTCTTGGCAGCTATTCAGATTCAGAGTGCTTTCGCCATAGCCTTTGGTGTCAATTTCCTGGCTGCTAACATCCACCACCCATTTCTGGGGATGACTGGAAGTGGCATACACACCCCTCTGAAGTCTTTTTGGCACCATGACATGGAAAACCTCACAGGTCACCTTATAATTGCCCAGGTAGCCAAAAATCCACAGAGTCTCGTTAGTATAGAGAATGCCACAGATAAAATGGACCCATCCCATAGTAAGTTTTTGGAAATCTTGGCAGGTGATCCATACTGTGAGAAGGATTCTCAGGAAGTCCATTGTGATAGAGCCACCACATGGAACATGAACGCACCTCTCACGTTTCACTCTGAGATGATGTATGATGATTTTACCCTGGTCCCAGTAGAGGAAATGGAAGGCTATCTCCGAGTCTGTGCAAATGGCCTCTGCTGTCATTTACTTTACCAGAGGCCCACTTTGTCCAAAGAGCTGTATGCCCTGGGGGTCTTTGATGACCTTCACACGGTGCACGGCACTTACTATGTTCAAGTTTGCGCCCTGGTCAAGTGTGGGGGTCTTGGTTTTGACACCTGTGGGCAAGAGATCACAGAGGCGACGGGGGTATTTGAGTTTCACCTTTGGGGGAACTTCAGTACTTCCTATATCTTTCCTCTGCTCCTGACCTCAGGGATGACCCTGGAAACCCCTGACCAGCTCGGCTGGGAGAATGACCACTATTTCCTGAGGAAAAGTAGACTGTCCTCTGGCCTAGTGACGGCGGCCCTCTATGGGCGGTTGTACGAGAGGGATTAGGAGAAGTGTGGGGCAGGCAGTGGCCGCTGCATGGACAGCCCTGCACTTGCACAGGCCACAGCTCACAAGCACCGGGACCACCTCTTCCCCCATCCTGGGAGCTGGGAGAAGAAGTAGGGGAGACAGATCGATTCCCCCAGTGTGTCTAGTATGAAATGTCCTCTTAAGTGTAAATTATTGAGATGTTTTCTGGTATTTTCTACCCACATTTATCTTTTTCAAGCCACACCTTCCTCCAGCAAATCTCTTACTATACAACTGGTTTTAAGAGCGAAAAAAATTACAGTTTATATTTTATAAATCCTTAAATCAGTGAGGTGTGTGTCTATATGTTTCTTGTTCTTTGTTGATCAGTGACACCTAAGACATACAAGTATTTCACAAGCCTCCAACATTTTCTAAGGGAAGAAACAAACTCAGAGCAAAAGCTGCATTAGAAATGGCTGCCGAGGGGCCCATTTCCATGCTGATCGACCAGAATTCTATTCAGATGAAGTGATAACACTAGAGCCACCAACAACACCAGAAACGTGGATCTAGAAGCAGCTTTAAAAACAGAAGGGAAGTTTTTCTCATATCTGCCTTTCAGTAAATGGAATATGTCAGGCAGAGCTTGGAATAACTGGAAAGAGGGGGGGTTGGAAAAAAGTGCTGAAGAGAGGGGCAGCAGTGGGAAGGTATGAGTAATAGGATTCTTTCTGCACAACGTGTCTCATCTAGGGATTCCAGAGGCCTTAATAAATCACACTAGCTTTGGGCAAGAGCCTTATGATTGCCCAACTGTGCAGGACAGAATGATGCTGGTAGAATCTACTTCGCCCCCGGGAGGGCCTTCCTTTTGCAGAGAGGCAGCCCACCTCTTGAAGAGAAGATGGGATACCTGCCACAGAGGTTGGCCTGCTTTGGTCATTCGTGATTTAATCACCCAACAGGTGTTTTTGGAGAACCTATCTGGTACAGAGTAAGGAGCTCACAATATTCATTCTAGATGCAAAATCATATTGTGTATAAAGACATTGTTAGGCCACTGATTTCTGAATTATTTGTATCTGACATTTCAGCATCATTTTGACTCTGCCTAGTAACTGTTTCCAATCATTAAAGTGTAAAATTTTTAAAGAGCATGGATAATTAGTCACCTGTGGCTTGTCTAGTCAATGTTGTGACTATTTAGTTTTATCCCCTCTTTAAATTAGGTTTTTGAAAACAGTATATGCATATATATAATTACATAAGGTTAAAAAATGAAATTTATTTCCCACTCCCCTGCAAAGTCCAGGACTTTTTCTGGCTTTTAGGCAGGATAATAAAGAGCATAGATCCTTGAATCAGACTCTCCAGGTTTATTGCCTTGGTCTCACGGTTAACCTTTCACCAGGAAGACCTTGGACAATTTGTTTAAACCTTGTAATGCCCCAGTTTTCTCATTCATAGAATGTGTACTGAATAATCCATGTAGGAAAGAAGCCAAGTCCCTGTTGACTCACTGCCCACCAGCCCGCAAAGGCCTGGAATGAATCACATCTTCAGGGAATACACAGGAACAACTCGGATTCCTGAGGAAGCCCTGGGAAGTCCTCCTGGGGTGGGAGTGGGACCTCTCCCACCAGATAGCAGAGCTCGCCCCCCTGGGGAGCGAGCTGGCAGGCAGCATGTGGCTCCTGGTGTGGTTGTCAGCCACCCCTTTAGCTTCCTTGCCCCAAACCCCAGAGAAACAGAAATTATCTTAAAAATGCATATTGTTCCTCATGCCAAGATGATTGAAATCAGCCTGAGAAAGAGACAGAGGGTCTGGTCCTAAATACAGTCTTGGGGGAACTACTTCACCCAATAAACATTTATGAAGCGCCTGCCGAATGCGCATTCTGTCCTCCTGAGCAGAACTCCTAGAACTTTTCCTGAGTTACTTTCTACCAACAATTCAGAACAATCTGCCCATGAAGTAGAAATGAGGGGAAAACTAAATAATGGTGGTGAAACGAAATGATTTTTACAATAAAAAGAAGTAGCTGCCAGATGGCAGAGCGAAGTGGAGGAGAGGAACATGAGTAAAATAAATCATTTCCAGGAAAAAAAAAATGCACCTATGACTCATGGTTGCGATATGTTTTTGTCAACTGTGATCCTGAAATTCAGGAAGCAAATGGCAATCTTGACTATAACACAGGCAAGAAATCAAATGTATTTTTGGTTGAATCAGACTTGGGGGAAGTGGCTTGGTTCATGCGGTTTCTCATGTAGGTGCAGCTGTGCCTGTCTGTGGTTTTCCTCACAGAGGAAGTGAGAGACAAATGAGCTGTGTTCACACTGCACTTAAAAAAGGCCTGTTTCTAGAGGAGGCAAACCATGCCCTGCATGCAGATCGTTCGGCCCTCATGCCTGAGGGGTGAGCCTGGAGGCAGCCCCTGCTGTGGGAAACCCACCTGGGCCACCCCTTACCCACAGGTAGCCCTGCTTAGTAGCTTGTGACCATTGCACACTGGACCAGAATTAGGCACCTGGCCAAAGACCAGCCAGTCAGAATGCAGGTCGGTAGACTCTGTGGTGGCCTGGCACCCAAGCTCTGCTCAGAGAGGCACAATGGTGACTCAGCCGCTTGGATTTGCAATTGAAATTCAGAACTGCTCAAACTAAATAAATGTTTTCTCAACCAAATGGATTTATACATTGCAGAACTTTTTAAAAAAGTTTTACTAGTATGAAATGTCGTGCAAAAATGTCCAGATCGAAAACAAATGCTGATGTGACATGAGGATCTGTGAGCAGGACTGCTGTGGAAGCCTTCAGTCTTTCATTGCCAAGTCTCCTTCCTTGTATTAGCTGCCTGTTCCCACACAGTTACCTCCAGCCTTAGTGGCTTACAACAATCACGGACACGACTAACACATGGTGTCTGTCCATCAAAAATCTGGGAGCGGACTCGCTGAGTGGTTCTGGCTCAAGGTCTCTCATGAGGCTGCAGTCAAGATGACGGCCAGGGCTGTGGTCAGCCGAAAGCTTTCACTGGAGATGGAGGGTGTTATTGGTAATTATGTCCCCCAAAAAGGTATGTTGAAGTTTTAACCCCCAGACCTCAGAATGTGACCTTATCTGGAAAGAGGGTCTTTGTAGATATGATTAAGATGTAAGTTGAGGTCACATGGTCACACTAGAGTAGGGTGACCCTTTAATCCAACATGTTAGATGCCCTTACAAGAAGAGAAGGCATACACACGCACCAGGCAGAGTCATCAACTAGCCTGGTGTGATGTCGACCAATGTTTTTCAAAGGGTGGTCCCAAACCAATAGCACCTCGGAACGTGTTAGAAACACAAATTCTTGGGCTCCACCCCAGATTTGCTGGAGCAGAAGCTCGGGCCAGTGCCCAGCAACCTGAGTCGTAACAAGCCCTCCAGGGTATTCTGATCTTGGTCGAGTGTGAGACCAAAGCAGGTGTGCAGGCCCTAGACTTCAGCTCCTCACACCAATCTCTGAAACAGGCAAGTGCGCCCGTTTTATAAAAGAGGAAACTGAGGCTTGGAAGGGCAGTGGCTTGCCCAAGGCCAAACAGCACCCCAGTAACAGAGCTAGAACGTGGAGACCAAGGCACAGCTAGTTTCTGGATTGCCGACCCAGAACTGTCATCTCTTCTCTGGTTTTCAACACATTATCACCCTGTCTGGGTGACCTTTTAATCATTCAAACATATTACCCTGCTTTTATTTAGCCAAAGACAAAGTAGTAGGGAAATATAATTTATAGTTAAGCAATTGCCTTTCATCAGGTTCCATGTACTTTTGAGAGTTCATGAAAGACTTCATGGGAATGCAGAAAGCTTATTTTTTTAATTTACTTTCAAGTATACAGTACATTGGTTAGACATCTATATAGTTAATAAAATGATCCCCTCAATTGCTCCCTCCTTCCCTTGACCCTCCACCTAGCCAATGCATTAACGCTAACTGCATTCCCTATGCTGTGCTCCCCATTCCCATGACCATCCAGCAGCTACTAATTTGTACTTCTTTAGCCCTTTACCCCATTCTCTCAGCCCCTCAAACCCCCTTCCCCTCTGTCCAACACCAAAGTGTCCACTATATTTGTGAGTCTGTTTTTAATTAGTTTGTTCTTTTTATTCTTTAGATTCTGCATATAAGTGAAATCATATAGTGTTTACCTTTGTCTGACTTAAATATCTTCTAGGTCCATCAAAGCGATATCTTGTTCCATCCCCTTCTTTTTCATACGTAGGGGTCTTGTTTTCTTATCTTTCCAGCCACTCTATCTTTTGGTTAGAGCACTTAATTCTTTTCCGTTTAAGGTACTTATTGATAGAAATGTAGTTGTTACCATTCTTTATTCCTGTTTTTGATACAAGAAAGTTTATTGAACTAATTAATTTATTTGCAATTATTTCAAGAATAATCCCTTTTTTCAGTTCCAATGTGAGAAAACTCACAGTGGAATGCTCCTGTAATCTTTTAATGTGGTGCTTCAACGTTTTTGAATAAAATATGCAGGACGGTTGCTTCTTTTTATGTTTATTGCACATGTCTTTATCAAACTTTCCACCACATTGAAAGGTCCAAGCAAGCCCGATGATCCATTTTATCAATACTTTAAGTGTTTACAATTTCTGAAATATTATCATCTGATTTAGGCAGAATGAAATCTTAGATACTGTGTCCTTTGACCTCAAGGCTTGGCTTGTAGTTTCTCTTCTGAATCCCGAGTCTATCACAGTAGAGTCCTAGTGTGTTAACTAAAGATATCAGTACACTAAAGGGAAGACTCCACTTTTCTTATTTCCATTCGAAACATACCGACAGGAAGTGTAAAGGATCAGCATTTTACATTTTCTTTGAATGCAATGGTTGAAACTCGTCCCATTGACCTGGAAGAACTGTAGGGTTCTAAAGTGATTCCTGAATAATCCAAGAAAGACAAAATTGCACAGTGTGACTTTAAGATAAGATGCATCTGGGGGTTCTAATTCTTTAAAAATTGTTTGTCCAACCATGGGTATCTTATGACTCACATAAAATCAGGTGAAAATTAAACATTAGCTCCTTGTAAAATACTGTTTTAGAAATGCTAGAGTATGCAGTCAGTCACATAAGAAAAGACTGTTACTTTTAGAGAGAGCTTATTATCTAGTGTTCATATACACACAGGACTTAAACACACACACACACACACACACACACACACACAATCAGTGAAGGCCGTTATGGAAGACTGTATTTTCTAAAAATAGCTGTGACAATATTTTCGGTCCCACTGACTCTTCCAGACCTTTGTCAGTCCCTATCGAGAGGTAGGTGGGGTTTATGCTT